TCTAGCTATAAAGGCTAGGGAGGGTTTGCCTGAATCCCCTCGTTCGGTTCTTCCTATCTACCGAACGAGGGGCCGTTCGGTAGTTAGGAACCGAACGGACCGGGCTTGTGGAGGTTTCAGCGGTGTTCGCCTAGTCGAGTGTCCGATTTGAGTTCCAGACACTCGACGGCAAAACACCGCTGTTCGAGAGTTTTAAAATGGCCGCCGCCACGTGTTCGTTTGTCGAATGGCGGCCACCCTCGAGAACAAAGGACGGCTACTTAACTTGTCAATTACCCGTTCGCAACAATGTTGCAACCGGTAATTGAGGACACACTTCACACAGGGGAGGTCTGACTGTTCGGTAGTTTCATTCCCTTAGTTTATTCGAATGATTCTACCGAACAATCAGAGGAATACAATTCTTTTAAACACATATAAAACCAGCAGTTTACACAAATGCAGTTATTCACAAGACATTTGCAGGACAGCCCAGTGCCATCCGCTACATGTTGGATGTTAAAGGAGTCCCTTTCCTGAACATATTTGAATTTTGAGAAAGGTTCCTCAACCCCAGTGGATGGTATTCATAGTTATCACTGTCCAAAGGATTTCCATAGGTAAGTTAACCTCTGCCCTTGTGACATCTTATCAGATCTATGGTGGAGGACCTGGATCAAAACTCTCTCTGCTGGAGTAATATGCTAGTCTGAAAAGAGCTGTACCGTGCCTTGGACCATGTCGAACTGTATTCCCAGCTATACCCTGAACTGGGAGGGAGCAAGGTGACTACAGCAGACATTCATCTTTCCCCATGAAGATGTAAAAATAAAAGATGTGAGGCAAAGGATACATGGCAATAAGCATCCTGCAAATCTATAGACATTATCCAGTGTACTAGGAATACTACCTTTATAAATAAGAACGTTCAAGAATCCTTTAATTAGAATGGATCTCCAAAACCTGTTAGAAACAGATTCTTTGTGTTCTAGTTGCTTTTTTTTAAAAAATTCTCCCAATAGCTTCCTCTAATTGAAGGGAAGCCATGCGATTTACAAAGCATCTCTTTTTACCTTTTGTCTTCCTCTGGTAGAATAATGACCACTTACATCAAGGTTGAGATCTACCACACTCTCTTCCAGGTGTGAAATACCTTGGTCTGAGAAGGAAGTTAATGAGAATCTTTATATCGAAAGGGTCTCTTGAACCTTAGGTCTTGAAGTAGACAAGCTTTCCTGCCCTCTGCCGTTTGCTTGATCCATTAATATAGGAGGATGCATCCGTGGACCAGGTATTAAGCAAAAGAGCCCAGCTAATAGACACAAAGAAAGTCATATTTCTGGCTATAATATAATGCAACCTATGTAGGCTTCTTAGCTGAAGACTATTCCCGGTTAATGACTTGTAAATTGTCAAGAGACAAAAGGAAATTTATCTCTGATATGCTCCTCCAATTTATCCATACCAATCTTAGATCCTTAGAGATTGAGGGAAAACCTTACAGCAAGATGAAAGCCTGTGCCAGCTGCCACATAGGCTTTAGAGAGGAGCAGGACCATGTATACTCCATGGAGTTTCAGAGAGATCCTGCATTGTTTACAGGCAGAGAGGAACATTTAGCCAGTCTAAGGACTGCATCTACTACTTAGGAGCAGAGTCCCAGGTACTAGTGTCTGAAATTCCAATGAATGAATACTGAGATACTCCCTTGTGTGGAAAACCTCTCTCAGTGTAGAACCATTCCTCCATTAAGGATCTTAAGGGGACCGGGAACTGGAAAAGATACTCTACACCCTCTGACATCCGAAAAGAAAGGCTAGAGGTAAAAGGACTCTGGAAATCAAATGAGTGGATTCTGGAACTACTGAAATAGGCTGAATATCCTAATCCGATGATTTCATATCTCTGAATGGATCCATCTCCCAGGATTCCTAAGAGTATTCTTTCTTGGAATTGTCCAAAAGGATCCAAGCTTCAACAGCTTCTATGACGTCTTGAGATACCTCCTGTTAATATTGTGTAATACACAGGGCATGGGTAGAAGGGCCTGTAGCCACTGTCAGACAGTCTGTGCAGAGACTTTACTTTTACAAGGATCTCTTATCATATGCCTCACAAACAATTCTTTAGTGTGACTTCCCTTGTATGATCCGGATTATTTTCTTCCCGTAGAGCTATCATCATAGGGAATGGCATGGCGCGACCATTGGACTAGCACCTGCGTATTCGCAGGTGATTAAACGCAGAGGAAAAAACCTGAATGGGTCCAAAAGTAAGAATGGAAACTTAGGGACTTAAAATAAAACAGGTTGAAAGGCTGAGATAGAGGAACATAACAGCGAATATCCTATTACCAAGTACAGAGACATTGAAATAGGATAATAAATTTAGTGAATACATAAAACCAACATAGAGGCATATAATAATGAAATTAAAAAGCACACAGAATAAGTGAACCCAGCAGCTGTATTAAAAGGCACTAGAAACAATTATTGTAAATTTTGAACCAGGAAAGAGACATTCAGATATTTTCTGGTTTCCAAGTGTACACATTTTATTTACAATTAAGGACTGAGTCAGCCCTGCAGGGAATTGAACTGGTGAGACCCAAGTGACAAACAGATTCTGCTGATGAAGTATTAGCCCACTAAGCTATCTTACCACACTCAGGTGAGACAGCTGCAATAAAAGGTTTAACAGAGGCCTAGGAATAAGTAAATCCAGCGGTTTTAATAAAAGGCCCAACAGAGGCCTAGGAAAAAGGTGACTCTTATGGCTGTATTAAAAGATACAGAGGCTTAGGAGTAAGACACAGGAGCCTATGAGTAAGTGACTCCAGTTAAAAGGACCAGCAGAGGCCTAGGGATAAGTAATCCAGTGGATACATTAAAAAAGACACAGAGGCCTAGGAAAAAGACACAGAGGCCTAGGAATAAGTAACCCAGTGGATATATTAAAAGACACAGAGGCCTTGGAATAAGACACAGAGGCCTTGGAATAAGACACAGAGGCCTTGGAATAGGTAACCCAGGGGATATATTAAAAGACACAGAGGCCTTGGAATAGGTAACCCAGGGGATATATTAAAAGACACAGAGGCCTTGGAATAAGACACAGAAGTCTAGGAATACGTTTGATAGAAATTCAGATTAG